GAGACAGACAGACAGACAGACAGACAAAAGTCTTTTGTGTAACAGCAGCCAGAATATTGTCCATGCAGTGTTTCCTATTTAAGAAGAAGACAATATGCAAAAGCCTTGTTGGTGTGTACAACTTTACAGGTTACAGTGGTTACAAATATGTTTTATATTGTGATGTAAGTGATGTTGTCATAGACTTAAACCCTGATGTCCAGCTTTTTGTGCTATCTTCCTTTTGCGTATAACCACCAAAGGGGCAATCCATTAAAAAGCAGAAATATTCCTTTAACCCTTCCCTTCTCCCCACAAAGACAACTGTTCGGAGACGTTTGTTAGTTCAGCCACAGCTTTGTCTCTAACTTCATCCACACATTAATGCTGTTCTCTCAAACAGAATATGTCCAGGTCTGAGTCAGTTTAGAGTCAGAAAGCGGCAAGCTGCAACACATTCGAAACATACCTTTCCGAGAGTTGTCATGTTTTATTTTCATATGATTATGACGATGATGATGACGATGATGATATTCATAATACTATATGTACGGTTGAAGAACGACTCCTTAAACCCCTTGTAGTTTTCTTAAATGACTCCTAGATTAATCTGTTATTTCAGTATAGTTTTCAGACTGCCCACATTCATAAGGGTGCATTTAAAGCAAAATGCTAAAGGGACAAACCTTACACCTTCAACACGTAAAAATATTACCTGTACGGATTTGTTTGTGATGGAAATGCATATATTGTGTACATACTGGAGGCTGCTCAGAGGCCTTTTTTCTTGAGGTTTTTTTTTTCTTTTCTTTTTTTTCTTCTTTCAGAATATATTATGCCAGGAATAACAACAGAACTTGTACTCAGAACAGAACCTGCTATGTCAAACTTGTCTTAAGAAACCATGAATACATTTCCATACATTTACACACTCACACACATATACTGTATACATCTATGCCAATGAGTACACCTTCTCAGGACCGCTCTGTTATGCTATATTTTCTCTTTAAGTCCAGAGAAGAGCAATTCTGTGGTCCTACAAGTTAAAAGTAGAGACTGATTTTTTTTCTTTGAAATGCTTGTGAACCATTCACACTTCCAGTAACACCAAGTTAAGATAGACATAACTTTAGGTGGATTTTTTTTTTTTTGTAATATTTTCTTTTTTTTTTATATATGTACACTGTTTTCTGCTTCTCTTCTTTGTTTTATTATGTGTTCTGTCTTTAACCGTACATGGTTAATATTAAAGTTGACAAGGTTATGCTTTAACTACCAACGTGTGCAAGTATTATTTTTAACACACACTCATGAAATAAATTATCCAGATTCAAAATCTTTTCCAGATGGGAAATTATCAAATAAATATATTAATAATAATAATTTACTAAGTAATTTCACTGCAAAGAAAGTAAAGCTGATAGTAATTCTAAGAAAAGTGCAAATATAATGAACAATTTCCCAACTTTTCAGGTAACTACCAGTTAATAGTGGGTGGTGTTGGCAGTTTAGGTAACAGGAAGTTTTAAGGACTCACCAGTACATTAAACAACCCACAGTAAACCAGTATATATTATACAACTTCTATGCATTGTCTTTAAAGGTCAGTGTTTTAATTACAAATGTAAATGAAACATCCACACATTTTTTTTTTTCTGCAAAAAAGTATAATTTCCACAATAAAATGTTTTTCCTCCTTCTACCTTATTAAAACCTCCAGAATCTCTGAATATACAAATGTTGTTGATTTCTAAAGTTTTCCTGCTGGACACAAGATGTCTCCTACTTCACTGTAAAGTCCATTCTCAGTGGATGTGTACTCGTGGCTTCAAGTTTCTACATCACACTGTACAAATTGCATAGTGGACCAGGACTGACTTCCTAACTGTTTGTGATGTTACAAATCATGCTGGTAGGCCCCGCCCCTTAAAATCAGATTTTCAGTGAGCACAGAGAAACAGACAGCACACTGTAGGGACAAGAAGAGAAAATATACAGTACTGTGCAAAAGATTTAGGCAGGTATGAAAAAATGCTGTAAACTAAGAATGCTTTCAAAAATGGAAGTGTTAATAGTTTATTTTCATCAATTCACAGAATGCAGTGAATGAACAGAAGAGAAATCTAAATCAAATCAATATTTGGTGTGACCACCCTTTGCCTTCAAGACAGCATCAATTTTTCTAGGTACACTTGCACACAGTTTTTGAAGGAACTCAGCTGGTAGGTTGTTCCAAACATCTTGGAGAACCAACCACAGATCTTTTGTGGATGTAGGCTCCCTCAAATCCTTCTGTCTCTTCATGTAATCCCAGACACACTCAATGATGTTGAGATCAGGGCTCTGTGGGGGCCATGCCATCACTTCCGGGACTTCTTGTTCTTTTTTACGCTGAAGATAGTTCCTAATGACCTTGGCTGTATGTTTGGGTCGTTCTCCTGCTGCAGAATAAATTTGGGGCCTATTATACGCCTCCCTGATGGTATTGCATGATGGATAAGTATCTGCCTGTATTTCTCAGCATTGAGGATACCATTAATCCTGACCAAATCTCCAACTCCATTTGCAGAAGTGCAGCCCCAAACTTGCAAGGAACCTCCACCATGCTTCACTGTTGCCTGCAGACACTCATTATTGTACTGCTCTCCAGCCCTTGGGCGAACAAACTGCCTTCTGCTACAGCCAAATATTTCAAATTTTGACTCATCAGTCCAGACCACCTGCTGCCATTTTTCTGCACCCCAGTTCTATGTTTTCGTGCATAGTTGAGTCGCTTGGCCTTGTTTCCATGGAGGAGGTATGGCTTTTTGGTTGCAACTCTTCCATGAAGACCACTTCTGGCCAGACTTCTCCGGACAGTAGATGGGTGTACCTGGGTCCCACTGGTTTCTGCCAGTTCAGAGCTGATGGCACTGCTGGACATCTTCCGATTTCGAAGGGAAATAAGCTTGATGTGTTTTTCATCTGCTGCATTAAGTTTCCTTGGCCGACCACTGCGTCTACGGTCCTCAACGTTGCCCGTTTCTTTGTGCTTTTTCAAAAGAGCTTCAACAGCACATCTTGAAACACCAGTCTGTTTTGATATATTTGTCTGGGAGAGACCTTGCTGATGCAGTATAACTACTTTGTGTCTTGTTGCTGTGCTCAGTCTTGCCATAGTGTATGACCTGTGACATGAAACTGTCTTCCACAACCTAACCTTGGTAGCAGAGTTTGGCTGAGAATTGATGCTGGTTTGAAGGCATAGGGTAGTAACACCAAATATTGATGTGATTTAGATTTTTCTTTTGTTCGCTCACTTTGCATTTTGTAAATTGATAAAAATAAACAATCATTATTTATATTTTTGAGAGCATTCTTAGTTTACAGCATTTTTTCACACCTGCCTAAAACTTTTGCACAGTACTGTACTTTTGAGTGGAGGGGGGCTTTAAAAAAAATGTTGTTTGGGGATATAATTTTATAAAACGGGAGAGGTAAACAAGGCAATGCCTTGGCATGTCCTTAATCCACACTATATACTAATTCTATACGATATGTATTACATACCAATCATTATAGTTTACCATTGAGCAGTTAGTGTACACAAAAAAAACCCTGCTTTATACTAACATGAAATTACGCAATACGTTCAGCATCTCTGCAACTTTGGGATGTCACTTCAAGTTAAAACCTAATATGTACCAGCCAACCTCTCACTCATTCGAAGTGGACCATTTACTGTTTCTGACCCTGTCTCTGCCTACCACCACCTGCTCTGTGTGCTGAGTTTGAATTCTGGTTCAGTCAGAAAACCTAAGTGTGTTGCAGCACATTTATTTGATTGAGACAATGGGATGAGATCAGTGGAAGCCTGTTAAAAAATGACCAGGTTAAGAGAAACGTAAGCTTACATTATGAGAGCCAATGTGCTAACTGATGTAAAAGAAATGCTGAGGCATGTAGCCATTCCTGTTACCTGTTGGCCTGCCCTAACTGACCTCACAAGCCCACATTGAGCCCTACCCCCACTACAGCCCTGCTCTGAAGCTCTCACTGTCAGACAGCTAGCTAACCTATTTACCAGCATACTAAACGTCATCAAAACAGGAAGGAAGCGGTAAAGTAGGAAAGCCCGCCTGTTGCTTGATTGGATTGGCTGTGTGGTCCAAGTGCTAGAAAAACCGCAACACAAAAAAGAGCATACTTCACACCAAAGGAAAACAATGGTTCTCCAGGTGACACGTTTCCAGTGGTGCGGCTCAGTGTGATCGGCCCCTTAGGGTGGCACATGGGGGGAGAGAGGCTCGCTATGCTTGTTACTTTCTGTCACATGAACAATTGTGAAAAATATACATTATTGGTTTAAATGAATAGAGCCTACTGTGAATGATCAAATAGATACCATCAGCCATCAGACTCCACAACGCCACAGCACCCAGTATCATTTTACGTTTAGTTTTTTAGTTTTTTAGTCATACACTGCTCAAAATATTTTGCACACCACTTTACTGTATACTGCATACAGTGTATATATTTTTCATTATAGTCTTATATTTTATATTATATCTTATAATATTCTTATTTTGTGATTCTTTATTGTACTTTTACACCTCCATACTCTTTGCACTACATTCCCCTATGCTGCTGTGTCTGACTTGAATTTCTCCTACGGGGATCAATAAAGGAACATCTTTACAACATTAGCATTCATTTTGACAATCAGCCTCTGTTGGTAGAGTGATATTTACTGCAAAGTGTAACCCTGATGTATCACCTCAGAGAACCATAAAGCTATTTCTCCCTAACATTAAGGTTTTTAGTTGCCAACCACATTTTAACCGTAAACTGCAATTTAAAAAGAAATTACAGTTGTAAGTCGTACACTCATTGGGTGAAGTGAACCCCCATGGTCATCCAGTCAGCTACTGATTGATCCATATCTGATCATTCGTAAAAGGCCTTAATTGAAAACCTAAGAAAAATTATGTAACTATAGTCATTACTCTTAAAGCACACATGGCCAACAAGAAACTCCATTACAGCAAAATGTATTTATTAAAATACAAATTTAAAAAATACAAATTTTATATTATTTGTGCCTTAAGGCCTGCAAAACCATTTCATTTAATAATATACAGTATTATACAATAATACATCTTCAGTGCTGCAGACCGCTGCCCTCAGTGTTGTGGAGCTTATTGTAGACATCCAGAGCCCACTGGAAGGTTTCACTGTAGCAGATCTGTCTTCCTTTAATAGTCTGGACCCTGCAAATCATACAGAAAGAGAAAACTCAGTGTATCCACCTGGTTTTGCTCATGTTTTAAAATGCAATTAGATATTCTGGATGTGTGACCTGAGATAAGCCTGCCTGGAAATCATTGGCCGTCTATCTATGTATCACTCCATTATGAGAGGAAAATAGTAGAAGAATAAAGCACAAACTCACACGAATGCCTGCTTTTGACAGAAGCTGTGGGTCTTGGTGATGTCGGACACGAGCTTTAATGGTAAAGGCCGCTTGGAAAAGCTGAAGCAGCAGATTGCAGGCGCTGTGGCCTTCAGAGCTTTAGCTGTGAGGAAGGTAAATGGATAAAGTCATTATAAACATGTCAGTGAGAGGCCGTCAAACAGACACAGTGAGGCACAAACAGAGATCACTCACGCATGGCGTTGCAGCAGCAGGCGGCGAGCAGCAGCAGCCCCAGAGTCAAGCAGAGAGTCCTCATGATGCTGTCAGTCAAATGATGGTGGTGATGGTGATGGTGGAGTGTCAGCACTGCGTCCTGTATAAATCCTCTGAATGATGTCAACGTTTCCATTCAAAGATAATCATCTATGATGAGACATTATATGCAGAATTTCCCTACACCTCCTTAGCTTTTCACCGCAAATACCCGACTCGACTCAACGACTGCTGCTGTCTAGAGTAGGAACTAACAGTACATCAAAAGATGTAAAGATTCAAACCCTCTTTCCTACCACAGAAAACTGAAGTTTTATCTTTTCATCTTGGTGTGTATGGGTTGAGGTCATCATCAAAAAACAGAAACACACATATTTTTCAGACCATTCTCAACTTCCCCTCCAGATATAGATCATACAGTGTATGTCTGATATGTTTTTCTAGCAAAAACAATATAATTTCAACATAAAAATAAATTTAAAAAACCAAAACACTACTCCTACTCCTTGTACCTCATTAAAAATGATTGTATAAGCTTGATTCTGGACCTGATCTGTTAATACATCATTCTGCACAGTGAAGAACATCCAACTGTACAAACAAGAAAAAGAAGAGTGGGGTGGGACTTTTTTGCTTTTAGTTTTCTCATTTAATCATCTTTTAACATTTCACCTTTTACATTTCCAGCAGAGGATAGTGGCAAGGCTCCAAACCAACCCATATCTAAGCTTGTTTTACACAAACCTACTGCAGTTAATTGTGCAGTTTATCAGTTGTTCTGTATTGAATATAATATGAAATATCCATAAAATATCAGTTAGTGAGGGGTCATCAGTTTACTCAATGATAGAAAAGGGGTCCCTGATATTCAGGGCAAGGCAGAAAGTTTTGGTTTAGTTTTTGAGATATGGGCTACCATCGAGTTAAGCACTAATTTAGGAATGCACTGGGCTTGTGCATCCACAGTAAACTAAGACACTTTGACATGTGGACAGGAGGAGATGGGTATCGAACCACCAACCCTATGATCAGTGAACCACATTCGCCCCATAAGCAGGGGTGTGTCCCAGTGTCCTGGGGTGGAACTGGCCACCCCTGAAGTCTGGTTAGCTACCCCAATTGCCACCTCATTATCCTTACCTCTGTTACTGGGTACTGGTTAATTGGGACCCACGAGTCTCCCCTTCCCGACATTCACACTTTATGCTAATCCACTGCTGTTTTGGGCAAAAGCCATGTAATAATAATCCTCCTTCTTCATTATCCCATTTACTCTCTGTAAAGCACCAGTTCCATTGGCAGCAAAACAGGCCCAGAGCATAACACTACCACCACCATGCTTGACAGTAGGCCTGGTGTTCTTGGAGTTAAAGGCCTCACCTTTTCTCCTCCAAACATATTGCTGGGCATTGTGGCCAAACAGCTCAATTTTTGTTTCATCTGACCACAGAACTTTCCTCCAGAAGGTCTTATCTTTCTCCATGTGATCAGCAGCAAACTTCAGTCGAGCCTTAAGGTGCCGCTTCTGGAGGAAGGGCTTCCTTCTTGTACAGCAGCCTCTCAGCGATGTAAACAGGCTTGACTGTGGACACTGACACCTGTGTTCCAGCAGCTTGTAATGCATTGCAGACCTGCTTTTTGGTGGTTCTCGGTTGACTCTTGACCATCCTGACCAATTTTCTGTGCCATGCACTTTATACTTACAAACAATTGTTTGCACAATTGCTCTTGGGACCTGTAGTTGCTTTAAAATGGCTCCAAGTGACTTTCCTGACTTGTTCAAGTCAATGATTCGCTTTTTCAGATCCGTGCTGAGCTCCTTTGACTTTCCCATTGTAGCGTTTGTGGCCGAGTCTAATGACTGTATCAAATGAGCCCTATTTAAATGGGCTCAGAGAAGTCACCAGCTGTAGTCAATCATAATCACTCACAAGAAGTTAAGAGGCCATTTAATTTAATTGACACAACTTTCTACATAACCAAAATTGATAATTCATTGCATTGCTGTATGTATATTTTTGACCCAGCAGATTTGGTCAAATTTTCAGTAGACCCATAATAAATTCATAAAAGAACCAAACTTGATGAATGTTTTTTTGTGACAAAGAAGTATGTGTTCCAATCACTCTATCACGAAAAATAAGAGTTGTAGAAATTATTGGAAACTCAAGACGGCCATGAAATTATGTTCTTTACAAGTGTATGTAAACTTTTGACCACAACTGTAGTTCTTTGCATGTGGTGTAAATGTGTTATTTTTCGCCAAAGTGTATTTATATATTTCTGCATACTGGGGGTTCATAAACAGTGTTGGAATTACATACATTGGAAAAGACTGGAAAGCTGAGACACATACTTCATGCCACCACTGCATACGTCAGTGCCCTACTTGTGCCCCCTCAGTCAAAAAAGTCAGGACACGCCCCTCCCAATAATCACTGATAAATAACATTTGAAAAATTCTACATCAGCACATTCTCCCAGAGTCAGTGTTGCCGTTACTCTGCATTATTCACAGTTTCATTGGAATAACTTTCTACCTTAGAATGAATCCCTATTAAATGACTAGACAGCCAATATCTCAGAAATGGCTCATTTTAAACCAAAACATTCTCCTTTTTTAATGGTATTTCAGTGAACTAGCCCTTTAAAAAGTCTGATTTAATTTGTTTCATTTATAAACATTTGTCATATTATAAAGACAGTAAGCAAAATAAGGAAAAGAAACCTGAGGTAGTCAGTAAGTCAAGGCAAAACTACCTCATATAAAAATAAAATATCGCGCATAATAAATGCAAGCACAATTTGTCCCATCGTTTTTCTCCCAGTTGTTTTCAGTCATGTGTTGGTCATCTGTTTAACAATACTGACAAAGAGGCTGGTAGTAAGGCAACTTTTCTGAAGCCAGTGTTTTGTAATGTCCTTTTTACTTGCTGCCAGCACCATCTTTAAAACGTAGGTATCACCTTTACTCAGCCTGAAACGGATGAGTCCAAGATAAAGGGATCCGAATGTAACACAGTCGGATTGTTTTATCGTTTTTGACATTATATTTGTTCTCAGTCTTGCATACTGGAACACACACGCACGCAAACAGAAAGGAAAGAAATCAAAGTGCAGGGGTTTTTTTTGTAAAAATGTCTTCAATCAGAGGACTTAAATAAATAATCTATAAATACAAAAACAAAATACCAACCACCAGAAAAAACCCATATTGCTTTCAGCTTCCTCCAGGGTAAATTACATTACTATTTTACCATGAGTCAGTTCCCCCTTCTATGCAAATGTTTGTGATGCAGACTGAACTGTATCACCTGTATATACTGTATCACGATCTTCACAAGATCTTATCGCAGTTGTTTCCAGACGTGCACTGAAACCCAGGCTTAGCAGTGCATCTACAACCTATTTAGGTATCTGTGTGCATGCTTTTGCAACACCATCAGTTTCCTCATGATCATCATCTCTTATTGATTTGCATATATCGTCAGTGGGACGCCAATGTAATGCTCTGAGCTTTTTAATTACTATTAAAAGATACATCTGTGAAGCAGGTGTTGCTGTTATAAGATGTCAGAACATAATACATTAAAACTAGAAGACAACTATCGAAGTTTCACATTCAAAACTGTAAGAAATGTGTTCCTTATCAAGATTGTATTTTCTTCTTGACTGTGATTGAAGATGTTTCTATTGCCGTAAAGTGACTGGAGATTTCTGCCATACTGCATCCAGTCTCTTGCAGCAGTGTACTAGCCTATATCAGTCCGTTTGTGAGACAGAACGGTGGCACTATAAGGTCAGTGGTCACTGTATTGTTCAATTATTGACCCAGAAAAGTAGCAGGAGAATGGATGTGTGAATAGAAATTACATTACAGACATCATACACCCCAGAGAGTAAGGGCATCAATTCTATATCTTACACAGGCAAGTCTGTACATAATATGATTTCTCACCATAAGCATCCACTACTGTGTTTCTGATCTGTCTATATCTATAACAAAATAATGAAGCACTGTTTGTCGTCTCTGTAACGTCAGTCAACACTTGTCACACTCTTTTGCAATTATACACACACACACACATTCACACATTACGTCTGTATATAAAAAGCACAACTCCTATTCCTGTTTTTCTATTTCAATTATATCTTGTGTTTTTTTTTTAAATCTATTCTTATTTAATGTGCATTTTCTAACCGTGCTGTGTTGAATGTGCAGCTGCTGTAGCACGCGTGGGATCAATAAAATCTATCTTGTCTTGTTTTAACACAAATAGTGTAATAGACACACCATTCATGTCAACAGATTTCATACAAGTTATATATCACACCCCGAAGAAAATACATTCGTTGTATTTTTCGTGAAAGCTGTACAACAATACCATTCATGATGTAACTGTTAACGTTAGCGGAATCTTGGTAAAACGGCCTCACTCGGAACTATTCAGCTGTACAGACGTGGAATCAGATTACAAACCTCCTGTCTATTGAGCAAAACAGGCCTGCTGTATTTGGTCTGGTTCTAGATCAGCCCTCGTCGAAGGTATTTACGGGACTCCAGTACACTTCCGCTAACGTCAGAAGACCCGCTGAAATTCAAAGTTGGAGGAGGAGACCGAGCGGAAGGTTGTTTGTGGTTTCCCGTCAGTTAACGTTGACTTGTTTTCATACAGACTGTAGTTTCATACACACTTCTTTTCAGGTAAGGTAGCGAACGACTTGCTCGGCTTATAAGTTACATGATATGCTAACTCTGTGAACACGTTAACAAGGTAACAGTCTGTTCCTCCTAAAGCTAGCTTATCATTCCAAGCTAGGCTAACGTTGTGCAGGTCAAAGTTAGCCTGAAACGAGCTACCCGCTGTTAACTCAAAGGACAGTGTTGCTAACATTAGCTAGCTAATGTACTTCCTTAAGTTGTAAAGTTACAGGTTGTCAATGCTCGGAGATAATCATTTTTAAAAAAAAAAAATGCATTGTAGTAAAAAGTAGCACAGGTTTAGATAACGCGATGCATTTAGTTAACTAACGTTAACTAGTTAGCACAACTTTCTATGAATGTGTTTCATTTCAACATGACGGAAACCCTGGGCGTTGTCAAGGTTCATTTTATCTGGTGTAACTGAAGCGTTTTTTCTGTCTGTATAAAATAGTCAGCTAGCTTTAGTCGTTCTAGCCAACAATGCCTTATGGCATTGTTTGAGTTTGAACCTAGCTCATAATAGTGACATTCACCTCCACTCTGGAGAAATGTCCTTTTATCTGGTTTATTTCATAGTGAGCAGGTGTTTAGAGAAAGGAGAAACTGCCATGGCTTGACTCTTTGTTTTCTCTTGACTAAGGCTTTTTGTGCCTCTGTAATGCCACTGTGTTTGCAGCTCAGTATGGAAGCTGGTGAGGAAGATAGTGGCAACGTCGGCTTGAAGAGACAGAGAGCGCCTCTGTCAGATTCTGAAGACAATGTCTTCTCACCTTCAGGTTTGTTTGTGCCTGCACTGACAAGAATGAATCTTCCTAAATACAGTATGTCTACATATTTACAGCAGGCTTTGCAGTTATGTACGTATTTGTGACTTCTGTCCTGTGCATCTTTCTGTCTGATGTCTCAGAGGTGAACGATGGCCAGAAGCGACGGCGTTTGGAGGCAGCTGGTCAGGAGAACCGTAGTCCTAAACCGTCTTCCTCTGGACGACTAGCTGAGCTAGACTCCAAGCCAGACACACCTATGGTTCCTTCAGTCCGGTCCAGAGTCCAGCAACTCACCCAGAGACGAGATGGTAATCCTACCTTTGCTCATCATTGACATGATAATATTTTGTCAATGAGGGTAGACATTATAAACACCTCTCAGTATAACACAATACGATTCAACAGACTACTGTTCACACACTACAGCCTCAAAAATGAACACCAACATCTCATATTCTACACTTCTATAAAGGCAGGAATAACTGCCAGGCTGTTGTATTGGTAGTTCCCACACAGTATAAAAAAGTATGGAATTTGATTTTGGTCATTTTCAGGTCTGGATAAGTATGGAAAAAACAAAGAGTATGAAAAAACATTTGGCTTGCCGAAAACATCTGTGTGGCAATATTAAAAAGTCACATTGGAGTCCTGTTCTTGTCGTTATTGTTATTATTATTATTATTATTATCATAAAGCCAGACTTGAACTTGATGTCATCAAAAGCGAGGGAATCATTTCTGTGTAAGAAAACCTTTACGACTGCGTTCATCGTCATTTCCATGGACACAGTAAATAATCACGGTTACATCTAGGGTAAACAAATAGCTGTTTGTACTCGAATGTCAAATATGAGCTGAGAAATCTAGCAAGAAGTCTAAAAATTCGTGTCTGGGAAAATGCGTAGGAACCCAGTGTGTTAGACTACATTAGTTTTAGGTAGATGGACCTAATAAACTGTACTGTACATACAAGAGCTTTGCAGTTTTGGTAGGGTTTAAGGTACAGCTCAAGATGGTGACTGTTATGGCCAAGATCAACAGTCGAGCTGGATTATCTGCATGCAAGATAAAAACTATTGTCAGGATGTTGAGCAATCTGTGTGGAGCCGTAGCAGAACAGGTATGCTGCAGTTTGTAACAGCAAGTGTTTGTTGTTTTAGGAGGAGCTCCACTGGCCCAGCGGTGCCTGTCTGATCCTGGGGCTGACAGCCCATCCATCATCATCCATGAAAAGGGCTTCACAGAGCATCTCCTGAGTGAGGATACTTATGAATACACGCATTCAGAGACAACTAGTGCAACAACTAGTGCAGTCAGTCTCAAATATGGCTAACGTGATTGGGACTTGAGTTTAGTTGTATCAGTACTGTGGCAAGATATTAAGAGTCAGTTACAAAAGATGGTTGGAAAAATGTGCAATTGTCTGTGCAATTGAGAACCAGATTTGTTTGTGTTTTGCTTGAAGCTTACATAAATGTGTATGTAGAATTTCTCTTTTTATTGTAATAATTATGTGACCTTTTATTGATCCTTTTGTCATACATAATTTATAGTGTACAAATCGATAAACAAAAATGATGATTCACATTATCACATTATCTGACATTTTCCCACAGGAGCCACAAAAAGTAAACAATATTTAACAAATTAAAACTACAATGAGGGCATTAACTCATTTCTAGTGACAATTGGACTATTGAGTGGGTAGCCTATTTTGTTTGCCCAGCACAGTACAACACACCCCCATATACATAAAATCTTTGATTGCAGCAAGAAAACCTGATCAGGATATTTCTACCAAAATGTAACATTTTATTTCCATTTATGTATAAAAATGTATCTCTATAAATGCTTTTCCTCCAGATGAGGGAGAATTTAATCAGCGAATGGAGCGATTTAAAGTGCCAGTCTTCCAGGCTAGCCCTGCCCCCACCCCCAGCCCTGCCAACCCCTGCCCTCGGACCTGCTCCAACTTTGTATGTGGCATTCAGCAGAAACTCCAGGGCACTACAACACCCAGCTCCAAGCAGGCTTCTCGCATTCGCCAGGTGAGTTCAGGGACTTTTATTACCCAGATTCACACCATTATACACCATTATAATTCCCAAGTTCTTGTACTCTGATGGACAAATTAACACAAAAGCCCGCTGATATAAATCATCTACACAGATACATTTGTGATATATTACTATTTCTCAATGTTGTCTGTGAATCTTAAAAAAAAACTAAGAAAAGTCAATTCTATTCTGCTCAATAGAAAATTCAGGCATATGTTTACAGCAGGATGAATGAGAGTTATAGTACAGTGCTCAGTCCCTACCTTCCCAAAACTCACTAGAGTGTTTCTCTCTATCCCCCATTTCCTGTCTATCAGCTGTCCCTATCAAAAATCTCCATCCATTTTCCGCCACCTATCGAGTCAGCCAATACATCCCAACAATGTCATTATGATCGTTCTGAACTAAAGCTACTAGCAACTGCACTGCCTATAATTATATGAGCTTTGAAATGAATGAATTGATTTCTACCGCTGTCTGTACTGAATTATACGTGGTCTGACATCTGGCACGGTTTCACTGATCAGGAACGGGAGCAGGAGTTGAGCCAGTTGCATTTCCAACCAATCAGTGAGAATGCCTGGCTGAAAAGGAGCAGCTCTGATCCCTCATTAACTCAGGTGGGTTTGTGATCATGGTATTTTGCCTCTCAAACATTCAAGAATGTTTTAGCTGCAGCTGTCAGAAATATCTTGTCATACTTCATTTTCTGTTATATTGAAGTAAAGGAGGGTGATTTGACTCATAAACTGTAGACCAGAACACACTCATGCAGTTAAGGGGTTTCAGCATTGATGCTGATAGATTAGAAGTGGATTTAGCATTTAAATATTTGGCTCTTTTTTTTTCTTGGATTGGTATTACGTTTACAAAGAGGATGCCTACCCCCCTTCGACTGGCACGTCATATTTTATCTTGTTTTTGTGGATGTACCTTTTTCTCTCTTTTTTTTTCATATTTTGTGATTAATTTCCCCATTTGTTTGAGATTTTTTTAAACACCAGCTCATGTAAACATTAGCAGGGAAGGACCCCTCCTGGCCCCTCATCTCCCTCCTGGGTGCCTAGATCTAGAAGGGGAGTTTGTTGGCCTCCCATGCAGCCCTGGGATGTGAGTCTGTGACCAAATCATTCTTCACTTTCTGGTCACATTCGGGCTTTGACACTTGGGCATTACTTGGAGCTAAAAGAATGGACACTATTGATTTCAGCAGTAATAAGAATTGATTGGATAACAGAACAAGGAAAATATTTGAATATTCAATTCAGTTTTATTTGTATAGCGCCAATTCATAACAGAAGTTATCTCAGGACACTTTTCAAATAGAGCAGGTCTAGACCGAACTCTTTAAAACATTAATTACAGAGACCCAACAGTACCACCATGAGCACTTAGGACAGATCCTTCGGCTCTAGGTGGGTGGTCGTCTGTCTCGACCAGTTGGGGTGAGAGAGAGACAGACAGACAGGTGCGCAGCAACAACAGTATTGGTAATAGCAATCTGGCAGGAGGCTCCACCAGGATCGATAAGAACCTGCAAGACGAGAAAGCACAAGAACTCCGGGGAAGAAGTGAAGTTAGTGACATGCATTAATTGGACATGAATGTGTGCAGAAAGGGAGAGGAAGAGAGGAGCTCGGTGCACCATGGGAAATCCCCCGATAGTCTATAAATATAATATAAACTTATTACTGCTGTTGGCAGTATTACCCATTCACAGGGCTCCAGTTTTTTGTCTTTTAGAGAAAGGAAGTTCACGTATGTACAGTAAGTCTGGTGTGGTGTTGGGGGGAAATGGACTGTTCACACAAAGGATTATCTTTTCACTTCACATGTCATGAACAGTAGAGAACAGCAGCTGTGCCATTAGAGATAACAACATAGTGGGGTCACGTCAAGGTAACAGGACTGCCTCAGAGATGATTGTCATATATTCATGTTTTGTTATATCTTTGTAATGTCCAGTACACAATGGTCACCTTGTATGGGTTTGTGAATATGTATTTTGACTGTTCAGCATAACTCCACCTTGCTAATAATTACTTATTTGATGACAATGGCTGCTTTAGACTTTCAGGGTTTGAGAATTTTGACACTTTGTTTTATTTACTTGTGTGCTATAGGTCTTCTGTCCCTGTTTCTATTTCTCTGGTTGTTGGGCACATGACTTAAATCACGATCATCACTGCAAGCAGTATTTTCTTTTATTAGCTTGTTCATGTACTTAAATACACCAAAATAAATGCCTGCTCTGCATTACTACCTCTTATATTTGTTTCCTGGTGCTGATATGTTTGCTTTCAGCAGGCTGATGATGCTGAAATGAAAGATGGCAGCTTCACTGAAGCTCGTACATCACATGCAGAGAAGAAATCTTCAGATGGGACAGGTAAGACCTTTGACTTTGCCCCTTACCATCTTCATTAATGCTGTTTTAGAGAATTAGCTCAATACACACCAGGACTTAAGGACTTAAGACTAAGAAGTATTGTGGCCCCATCAGTATAGTCCAGATCCTTTGAAACCAGTTGCTCTCTGAGTATGACAATACTGAACCCCACATCATGTCTATTCCCAAATGATGCACCAATCTGACACAATGGATCTGTATCAGCACCAGTACAGACGGTATTATTAAACTGAGTGATAATTTGCCACAATAAATACAGTCACTGAAATGACCACAATCTTATAAACCAAACAATTTTATTAAGTTTGTACAGTCCTTAAAAAAAATGTTGCTGTATGGTCATCTAAACTTAAAATGAAAGCTGTGGACAAGGTTTGTCTTTTTATTTCATGTTAAAAATTTAGAGCAGCCACACCTGCCTGGGTGTGGTCTCTCCTACTTTTTGATAATTGACATTATACCAGCAACATGTACATCTTTCACTAAAGTTTCAGTGCCTTTAGAATATGTTTTTCACTGAATACTTCCTGTATCTGTTTCAGATTAAAAGCTCCCTAGCATTTCTATGGACAGAATCCATTCATATGTTAACAAGGCTCATATGGGCTGTGGTGTCCAGGCCATAAGAAGTAATGTGTAGTTACAATCTGATGTTACTTTACAAGTAGAGTGAGGTATACAGATGTTAAAAGCAAAAAAGAGCACTGGTATCAGATCAATAGTTAGCCAATACCCTAAGATTAGGTACCAGAATTATGGGAAGTGGCTCAGTCAGTCCTTGCATTCTCTTTGTGCCTGATATGTTTCCTTTGTTGATTTGTGGTGTTATTGATTGTCTTGGGAAAACCTATGTTAAATAGCTTTTGGCACCTTCTTTATATAATTGGTATATATGAATACTCAGTACCTGTTCTAAAGTATATCAAGTATGATGCTTAGGTAGCCTAGTGTTAAGATGTGAGACCACTTTCTCAACAGGTAAACCCTTCTGTCACTCTGAAACTCCAGCAGCATCGGTAGAGTTTGAAAATAAAAGTCATCTGCAGATGAAATTGAAGGAGCAAAATACTCATCAGGGTGAAGAGGTCAGGGAGGAGAAAGAGCACAAGGCTTTAGTTGGGAATGAAAAAAAGCAACCAGGGTGTCAACAATCACAGACCCAGGCTGTATTGATGTTGTCTTTTAGAGAGGATCAGAGTGTGTCAGAGTTGCCCACAGATGATGAGCAGAACTTGCTAGAATCAACTCATCCAGAGAAGTCAAACATGAAGGAAACAGGTTTGGTGGTTTCCAAAGTAACTGAAGAGGCGTTTTCATTTGAAGAAGTTGAAGAAATGGATGGTTATTCATACAGTGAAGAAGGAATTGAGCCTTCAACAGATGAGGAGTTAAAGTTGTGGAGATATCCTGAAAGCAAGGTGTGCAAGGAGGTAGGGTCTGTCACAGCTGAAGGACAGGACGAAGGTGTGTGTGCTAAAGAGGAGGAAGGGGTGCAAAAAGAGAAAGGAGGCAGTGTTGCAGATTGCAGTGAATCCTCTGACTTCCAGGATGGTGAATGTTATTTGGGTAATGTCTCTGCTGAGATTGCCAGCTCCTTTGAAATGTTGGAAGATGGGAAATCTAAATCTAAGGAGCATGAATTAGAGACAGAAAGCTGTATAGATCACGCTGTGAAAGCCCAGACTACTTTAAACAGAAACCAAGGGAGCATAGAGTCCTTTGAAGGATGCCATGAGGGAGCATGCACAGGAGATGTGGATATTTTTACAATAAAACAAGACCAGAAAGATACAGAAGGATGTACTCATGAGGATGATATATGTCATCAGTCAAAGCAGATCCAGACAGTCAATATAAAAGAAGAAGACATGGATCTAGAGTCAGACAGAAGAGGCCCAAACCAAACAGAGGCATCTCCTTTTGCAGATGGAGTTCAGGCTCTGATACAAACACAGGCACAGTATGCAGAGCTTGAAACAAATATTGAGGATGTAGCAAAACCTAAGAGAGAGACTCAGGCCGCATCATCACACACCGATAGCAGTGATGGAGCTCAGTGGACAGAGGTCCAGATGTCAGATCCCCTTTTGGAGACAGAGAATATGGAGGAAGATGCAGTAGATGAGAGGCAGGGTGTTGTAGACGGGCTGAGAGCAAAAACTCACAAGGCAGGGGGAGGAGAGAGCTCAAAGAAAGTCACCTTTATCCTGGAGCCTGAGCTAATCAATGACTCAACCCTGTCCGAGACCTCCGTGGATCCCAGGGCAGAGACTAGCATGTCAGGTGAGAACAGTAAGAAGATGTAGGTGTGAGCACCTGGGTTAGGGTTAGGTCTGCCTGAGGACACCTTAGGAGATGTGAAACACATGGGTGAAGTCACTTATTTGTAAGACAGAAATCACAAATCATTGGTGAACTACAGTCACAGGGTGATTAAAGGAAAACTACCAAAGTTTGTGTCACTGTTTGTTTTGTGTGTTGGGTAAGACTTATGTTTTGAGAAGTTGTAAGTCGAGAGACCTATATGGGCTGACAAGCACATAGAGGGTATAAGAGCCTGACTGATATGGGATTTTAACTTTAAAGAATATTTAAGTTAAATGTTCTTTAACATGTTAAATCATTCAAAGCCCCTGCAATGAACTTTTGTGTTGATTCTGGCGGCCCCTGTGGACAAAAGCAGTAGTGTTTATCGGACCTGGTGGTGGACATTAAGAATAACAGCATAGAAACAACCAGTCTGTTGTGGTTTAAGTTTTCTCGTCTCAATGCACCTCAGTTAATGTCTATCTGACTTAAACTTTTAGCTATCTGACTATAGTGAGAGACCACAAACTCCCACTGAAGGTACCCAGAATGTTGACACAGACTCACACAAAGCAAAGAGAATTGACAATTTCACTCCACGTGCAGATTTATTTGCATTACACAGGATACAAGCAAACCGAGTTGTCTCGAGAATCAACTGACTTGAACAAAGAAAATCACTCTATTATATGCCTCTTTCCTAAAGATGTCTATTGGTGACTTCTAATGTCAGATAAACAGTAGTCACAACACATCTGATGCCCAACTCTCCCAGAGACAGCCTTGGTCTTTGGAATGTGCTTAGCTCATGGCACAATGAATAACACCTCTCCTAACTTCGGTGAGACAACCAGAGTGTGAATACATGAGGATGAACATCATTATCACTGGTGGTCTTGTTTCATAACCAGTTCAAACTTCTTGTAGTACATTTAACATAAACATTGTTAACCAATTCTATTTGATATTGCTGGATAAACTTTGCAGTGACTATATTACCACAAGTGTTCTTTTTGCATTATATACCACTATAAATCTGATAAGTCTGCAATAGGCCAATCGGTTGGGCTCTAGGTGGTATTGCACTTGAGGGAATAAATGTGACTGTGTATAAACCTGAAACAAGATGGATGGTGCCCATCTGTTGTGGGTTTTCTTTCATTTCAACAGTTGGTAGATGGCTGGTGAGATCTCGGACAACTATAGTTGAAGTGGTTGTCCTTGTTTCAGTAAGTGACTTGATACATTTGTGAATGTTTCTTTGTACAGATGCTGAACTGAGCTCTCATGATGAGACCAACACTGCTGAAATAATCGACCAGATGTTTGAGGAGGTGCTGGAATATGCTGGAAGGATAGAGGAAGAGAGGGTGGATGATGAAGACACCGAGGACCACGACAGTGGCATTGGTGCTTGCACTGGAGACAAAGACAAGATGGACACAGAGTCAGAGAAAGAGAAAAGTGAAGAAGAGGGGGAGGCCAAAGAAGAGGAGTGTGATGAGAGCAAGAAGCTTGAAAGCAATGGCGATGAGCTGCTGACTTTTCCTCCCAGCGGCATCCTCTCTCCTCTCAGCAAGTCTGTAGAGGCTGTGGTCACCCCTCTGGTAAGATAAATTCATCACTTTGAGCTGAGTGAGTTTCATTAGGGGAGAATTCTGGATTAAGTAATTGAGGGAGAGCCAATAAAACATGTTCATTTATATTGTTCCATGTTGCCCCAACAGCGACTGGCAGTGAGCCAGGAGTCCAATCCTCCATCTCTGCTCCTGACTCCAGAAGAGACCAGCACCCCTCCTGCTGAATCTGCTCCTCTGTACAGGTGACTAATCACAGCAGCAATACAGCTGTACAAATCCTGTTTGGATTAAACTCCAATTGAACGATCAGTCTAGAAATAGTCTAGTACATCTTTTGGCTTCTGCCGCCCAGTGTTATATGGCATTTATCAACTTAGCAATGCTAAATGATTTTTAATTTAAAAATACAATCAAAATCCCTTATGAATGGGTTATGTAGAGCTTTGAGGTGCTTTAAATGATGTGGATCAAATGTTGTACCAGCAGGCCCACATGCCTAACTAAAGCTATGATTTTACATCATTTTATGAGTCCAGATAAGATAAATAGGATTCTGGTTTCCATAAAGTTTAAATGTTTTTCTGTTTCTTAAAGGCTGGATCATATTTCAGTCATGTAATTCTATGAACATTACATATCGTCATTGTCTTCATATCACTCATTACTGTTTGTTAAGTTTTTCTATAGAAGTTGTAGAGTCAGTAATGATCCTCCGTTTGTGGGTTTATAGTTAACATACTTGACTGTGTAATTTGATTTTGGTTTGTTTTGTGACAGTATTGATGCCTACCGCACACAAAGACAGAGTAAGCTGCCCACCATTCAGAGTGTGACTCCTGGGGTTCAGAGACGAGCTCAAGAGAAGTCCAAGCCTCAACCCTCTGTCAACACCAAGGAGAAAATCACGGTATGTAGCACTATTTTTAACTCAGAACGTTAGCTTGTTTCTCTGATAACTTACGATCCACACGTCCATTGACTTAAGTCCTTAGTTAGTCCCTAGTTAGAAACAATTAAGATCTAAAAAAGTGGATGGTAAAAATGTGGCTTAAAACTGGATAAAAAGTCAATGTATGACAGGCGACCAGTGAAACGCAGCAATAAAATGGCAGAATTCTCTGAGTTTGAACATTGTTGGAAACATTTGGATAATGGAAGTACAAAACTTAAATCTTTATAGACATTTCAATGTGGTAATGTTACCTATTATAGCTTTAAGGCGGTGTTTGTCATTCTTTTATTACATCTTTTAAATGAGTCAATTGTAAATGCACTCATGCAACTGCTGAAACTGACCTCTCTTTAACTGAATTATATCTAGTACAAATGTTGAGTAAGCCACAATCTTGCATATTGTCGTGTCTGTGTCTGTGTATCCAGGCTCTTAATGAAGAAGCAGGGAAGCTGCAGACTGTGATCAACCAGACCCTGCAGGCTCTCAGCTGCTGTACTGATGAGGAGCATGGACGAGGCTCGCTGGAGGAGGCTGAAGCTGAGAAACTACTGCTGGTCTCCTGTATGTGCACATCACGATTATTGGTTTCGTAGTCCCATCTTTGTGTACCACAGGAAGCCATGTTCACGCTATTCTGTTTTACATACAGATGGATAAAATGACTTTCTGTGTTGCTTACTATTCTTGGGATTTATTGTTTGTTGTTTTCAGGTGAGAAACGCTCTGCCCTGCTGGCTGAGGTGGCCAGACTAAGGGAGGAGAGGAATTCAGAGTCCGGGGAGGACAGGGAGTATGTTTCCCAGCAGCCCTGCAGAGGGACGGTTGCCATCACAAACATCCAGCTGCCTCTCAAGGTTGAATTTGTCTGCTCCTCACACAACCGCACAGGTAGCCCAGCAGGGGACACTTCTACCAGTTTTTGATTAGGTTTTATTTTTAATTGCAGCATATTAAACAATGCAGCATTTGCGATTTATTTGAATTTTTTATGTGCACGTTTAGGTCGTCCGAGTCACTACTTCTTCATCCTGATCCGCTACGGACCCTGCAACATTGTCGCCACCCCGCTGGCCACAGCTGCTGACGCTCAGAACGGAGACACCATCTCCTTCCCTACTTCTGTCACTCTGTAAGATGCAGTTCTTAAGCTGCTTTCTGTTACTTCATTTGACATGTCTTATACACCGCGTCTAGCACATATTAGCTGCATTTACATTTTTCTTAATTTCTTTTGTGTGCTTTTTTTATAAGCACATCAAATCCATTGTTTCACTGGTTGCTTTCTTATTTTTATTTTGGTAACAAATTCTGAATGAATGGTCACATCCAGACGCTGAAACTGTTTTTATGCACTTAAATCTTTTTGCATCAGTGTGATCATGTCAGTGGTATATAGATTAATGCATTGCTTACTTTGTGTCGTTGATATGTCAGGAAGGATATTCGTCCATCCTTTGAGATTGATGTGGAAGTCTACAGCCTGGTGAGACAAAACATTTGACCTTTTGGATTGCAGTTGTTTTTTCTTATGTATCAATTGAAATAAATTAATAGAATAGCAAAGTGGTTGGGGCTGCATGTAACAGGTTTATTTCATAACCAACCAACATTGTTATTCATAACCTCTATGTTCCTGAACCTTGACTTATATTATGGACATTAATAATAAATATTTAAACTTCCTGAGAAATCATGTTTATTCTGGCAGCCACTGTACTTCAGCCTAAGCAGATGTAGATATATGGTTGTGTCATGCTGCCAAGTATCTTCTCTTTGCTTGGGTGAGAATGGGAGACAAGGATGCCTTAAAGATGCACCAGGTCAGAGAGCTGGGTCGAAAAGTTCTGAAATAACTAGTAACTAATTGTAGGACTAGTGGAGCTGTATAAGCAGGGATGACGGCTGGATTACTGAGCTCAGACAGTGTTTCCTCTATGTTGATTTTGGAGCGGCGGCCCACGGCTGTTAAGTTTCTGCCGCCACGGTATCAGAAATGGGGCAGACGCACAATGTAGTCCCGGTTGCCTTTTAAATGATCCTGCCGACATAATGCGCCCCCGTTGGCTGCCGCTCACATTGCAATTTAACAACAAGTAGAACTATTCAGAGGTTATTGGGGCTGTCCAGTTTAACTCCACATACTGTTGTGTTGATGTAGCTTATTGTCAAAACGTTCGCTTTCTTCCAAGTCGACTATTAAACTAACAGCTCCACCAAAAACTGATATCAAACATCTGGAAACATTAAAACGGTAAATATATTTGTTTGTGTCGCAGCGAAGTGTCACTTCTGTTTCATACGTAAAACGTTTGCCGGCATGACGGGGTGGGAGTGTTCGGACGGGCCTGCCCCCACTGCTAAAAAAAATCCTAAATCCTAGAGGAAACACTGGATCAGGCCATGGCATCCAGATGAAACTGCCTATCAAGCCACTGGAGCTAGCTAATGTAGCTTAGCCCAAGCAGATACAATATAGATAAAAGGCTAGGCTAAGCTACAGAGTATAGTATCTGCTCTTTGCTTGGGTGAAAGTGGAGTTTAAAGGCCTCTCAGAGGGTCCAGTATATTTATTATGGCACAATCTGATACCTGACCACTGCAAGGGCTAGTGATCGGTCAAAACATGATTTAATGTAAATACTGCACTTCTATGGGAATGCTTCTTTCTACTGCTACTTTCTTACTCTGTTTAATTGTTAAAACTTTTTTCCAGTTGTAGAAAGTTGTCGAAAATATGCCTGTTTTTGTGTCATCTAGTCCCATACTTCAGGTAGTAACTGTGGCATGGACCGGACCACCACCAAGTCACGGGTAAGTGGGTTAGCTACATAATGAGACGCGTTTTTTCAGTGACAGTCCGGGCTCATTTATGTTGTCTTTTACATATTCAGGTCACACCAAGAAAGCTTCTGAATACCATCACTGTGAGTACCCAGCTTTTGTCTCCTGTCCAATGATTATAGCATGTTTTAAAATTCACATCATTGAAGCACTACCTAAACCTTTTCTTTTGTTTTCAACAGAGATCCAGTAACAGCCTGACATGTAAGTTGTGTTTTATTTATTATTTTTTGTGAATATGTTATAGTACAGGGAGGCTTCATTTGTCCCGTTTGTGTCAACAACAGCTTTATAGAAATTTCTTTTTTTCATTTTTTCATGTCAATGTAAAAAATATATAAATAGAATATATATTTTTAAAACATCACTGCTCATAATGGTCATGTATATATATATCTGACTGACTGTTTCATGCCATTTTTCATTCTGCGCTTCTTTGTCCTTCAGCTGCTGCTCTTCCTGCTCTCACCACTCGTCGCTCCAGTAACTTCTGTTTGGTGGGCTCCCATAAGATCACCCTGGCTTCTCTGGGACACAGCAAGTTCCCTCTGGATAAGGTAACAATCTGACATAAAGGGCTGCTTTAAGGTTAATACACAACTGTCTTACTCTGGGCCACAAGATGTGTCTACTGCTGAAATGTGTACACAACAACAATGTTGGTGACTTTTGGTCGGTTGAATCATTTTAACAGTTAGAAACTATCTGACCAATAGAATCTACAGGAAACAGGTGCATTTCAGTCATATAAAGCAGCTCCAAGTCACATCAACTTTGGTGTCTGTCAGTTTGGCAAGTAAAAAATAACATTTCATTGGTGGATGCAGACCTGCACACACTGTTTATGGTAATTATTGATTGAATGATACCATTCAGAAGGGAAGAGCATGGCCCAAGTAACACATCCACTGTCACCAGGTTTCACACCTTTCTGTGCATTTGATTTTTATTTTTTCACCTGCAATGAAGAGCAGTGCTACAGGCATGACTATACATCCCTTTGGTCTTTATTATTCTGTTAGACGTTTCCGCACCTGGGTGGGCTCACTGGTGATGTAACATGTCCATCTCCCTCCCCCCCCTCTCTGTCTTGCTTCCTCCACTCAGATGAAACTTGATGGCAAAATCAGGAGGCTGCTGGGGGATGAGTTTCAGGAAAAGGTTTCACTCTTTTCACAACACCATCAGCCTTTCACCTCTCTCTGCTTCCCTCCTTCAACCTAACTAATTTCAGTCATACAAATTAACCGCCGCCTCAGTCTTGACAGTATTTGTCTGTCTGATCTCAAAAACCAAAGATAATACCCACTATCTTGGTATTTTGACTGTGAAATGACATTGTGTTTAAAGGTCCAGTGTGTTACATTTAGGAGGATCCATTGTCAGAAATCGAATACAATATCCATAGCTATGTTTCATTAGTGTATAGAATGAGCAGTTCTATGAATGAGCTCTAGATAGGGCCTTTTGCAAGTTTTGGGGCCATGGTAGTTTCTCCTTGGAAGGCGGACTTGTTATATCTAACAGTCGTACACAAAATCATAAACTTTAAGTCTTTTTAAGTCAGTCATTGTGACCAAAACAGTTGAATTTCAGGTAGCTTTTCTCTACAAAAATGGATGAATAATAGCATGTTGGAATAAAATTCTTCAAAATATTCAGTTTCTTGTTTCTTTACCTGTCTTCCATCATGCCGGTTTAACAGTGTCCCCCTCCCTCTTCCTCCTTGAACTGCAGGTGCCTTTTCTCTCTCCTCTAGAGGGCAACATCTACCTGCGACTGGTCAGTGAAAGTCACTCTAATGTGCAGCACCAAGGCTTTCTGGTCAGTAATGTGACATTTCTTACTCTAACTCTAACTCTGTGGCTACATTGCATATGTCCATCCTAACGAGCAATTTAGTATCAAACTGTATTTTAATCATAAAGTGAATGGGGTAAGGGAATTTCATTTTGTCATAATTGTTTAAAAATAGTGTCAGTATCTTAAAACCACGGGCAGATTTACACTACACTCCAGTGGCAACTTAGCTCCTATAAACATACATATAACAGACTTCCAATAATTCCTTATTTCCTTGCATTTTCGTTGCAGTAAATTCACTCTTCCCTCTTATTTGTGGTTCTGTTCCCAGACAATGTTTGAGTTGATCAGTGGATATGGGTTGTGGCATCGCCGATATTTTGTTCTGGAGGGATGCAACATGTACTACTGGAATCACCCTAATGACAAAGAAACTAAGGTAACGAAAGACAGACCAACAGACAGCCTAGGTCACCAAGCTACTTTTGATAGATCTAATTGTTTTCTGTTTCTAACCTCCCAGGAAGCAGAGGGCAGCCTTTCTCTGTCCAGCTCCCCCAGTCAGTGTGTCAGGCCCGTCAAGAGGGACTCGTGCGCTCGACCTTTCACCTTTGAGCTGGTGAGCAACATCCCACAGCAGCAGCAAGACGACAGCCAGGAAGCCTTGGCCAAGTAAGACTGCATATAAACAAACACCCTGAAATATCTATGGGAGTTGGTGAGGTGCAAAAATGTTTGTTTCTGGTGTTTTATGTGTTCATGGATTCTAACATACTTTCTTTCAATCTGTGAATCCCAGACCTCCCGTCTTCCCTAAAGGGATAGTTTTTTTAAGTGGGGTTGTATGAGGATCCACTGTTGATGGCCAGGTCAGCACAGTCCCAGTTTGGAGAAGCAGACAGGCGTACCAACACAGAAGCTAAGCAATGTACTGCAGTGGAGTGGGGTCAGCAACAAAACACATTTGAGCCACCTAAAAAAGGTCCACCTAAAAAAACATCAATCTTAGTGTAAGTGTACGCTATATTAAATATATTCACCACCAGCATCTCCCATTTCTCTGAAGCAAAATGACCTTTTTTGTCAATGGAGTCTGGTGACTTTGAAGAGAGCATAGTTCAAACAGCTTCAGTTTCCTGTTGGAAAGGGCTGTTAGATGGAAAGGTAAAGTAGTGAAAATATTCTAAAATATAGCTTACACATTGAATTTTTTTAGGTAGCTAAAATATGTTTTGTTGCTGCCCCCTTCCCCAGTAGTGCATTGCTTAGCTTCCATATTTGTACTCTTGTTTGCTTCAACCTTGGGTGCATGCTGGCACCGTCTGCTATGGATAAGTACGTCATACAATCCCTTATAAAAACTCTCCCTTTAAGGTAGAAATAGTTGGACTGCTTTTGATCTTTGAAGTTGCAACTTTTTGGCCAATATAGAACAACAGCCTTCATTATCATGAAAACGTGTTTATAATAAAGTTCTCTGGTGTTTACAGTGAGAATGAAGCATGTTGCTCTTTTGGCTGCAGCCAACTAGTGAAGTCACAGTGGGCGTTTGACTTTTGACAGTTGATGGGAAACGCCTTCTGTGACATCAGTGATTGGGTTGTGTCTAGAAATCTACTTTGAAATCGCATAATTGCTATTAAGAAAAATACTGACATTAACAGCCTCTACAGTCTTTTATACCACATTCACATTGTGTGCCACCGCACGTGGTCTTCATTTGGAGGAAAAAGCAGTAGTTATCATTTCAGCAGACTCAATAGCACCTATTGCAGACAGTTCTTACAATGCTCCTGTGACCGCACTGCACACACTGATGGCTGCTGTTGTTGTTCAGGTGTTGGTTTTCAGCTGACACCAAACAGGAAAGATTGGACTGGATGGAGAAACTCAACCAAGCTCTTTTGGACTTTCACACATGGAACCGAACACCAGAAAGTCAGCAGCCGAACACGTCCAGCAGTGGGAACTTGAGGGAGAGCATACTGTAACTACACTGACATCAGGGTTTAGATTCTTTATCTCAGAGCTACAGGAGAGGAACTTCTCCTTTTCTCTTCCGTTCCACTGTTAAATGAAACTGCCAAATTATTATTATAACATATGGCAAGGCACAACCTTATATATCTCATGTTGATTTATATTTGGGATGTATCTATTTGATTTTCATACTATTGTTTATTTCTTTTAATTTGAATCCAATCATTACTGTTGGTTTACACTTTTATTTGCAAAGTTACTGTTGCCATTTGAATATTTTTAGTTTTTCTTTGTCATGGTTTTGTGGAAATTGTGTGGCAATCTGCTGCTCTCGCCTTCGTTGGCAATATTATTTGGTCACTTTCAGTTGCTAAGGTGAAACTTCTCTCTGTAGCTTATATATTTTTGAAATAATTTACACAAATATTTAGATTAATATTGTATTTTTGTATCATTTAAACTGGAAGGATAAACACATTTGTATAGATACACTAATAAATATTGAAGGAGAAGGAAATCTTTAACTCTACTAAACTAATCTAGGGTGAGAATGTATTTGAAATGGTAGGAAACACTACATATAATTAAGATATATAGAAGGCATGCTAGCTAGTGTTAGAATGGGAGCTTTTCTTAGTCAGACATACACTTTCTGTTTGGTGAAATAATACGTTTTTGATTTATCCATTGTGGGTGGAAGTTAGTGCAGGTATTTGTTCTGACCCACCAGATATTTGGCTGTTACTTCTCTAAAATGTGCTCAAACAACACTTTGTGCCTTTTTTACTAAAGAAATAACCAGTCCCAATCTGCGTCTGTCCTTGTTGACAGTGCATGTCACCGGCGCCTTGGAGTTGTACTTCCTTCCCAGTGGCCTGAAGTGTTCACCAATTGTCTGACGTACATGATTTGTGCCACTGCACATAAATAAACCCATATGACTTCATCTTTAAACCCATATAATATTTGAAGTACAGTGGCTGAGAGAACTGAGGTAAAAGGGGACTGTAGTGATGCTGCTACAATGAATGTAATCTGTTCTGTATAATGTCCTGTTCTTTTCCATGTATCTCCACCTATCAGTCTGTCACTTTGTTATAAATGTGTTTCATGTGAACTCTCATTCTATGCACTTAATTGGAGGTACCAATAAAATAAAATGGATTGACATGGCTACAAATCTGGTTGAAATTGATGGACCAAATCCAGGCAGAAGTGCTGGTGCAAATGACTAATATGTCTAATTTATGTATATAGATTTTATGTTATATATTAGCACTTTGATATTTCAATTTTCTTTGTAGTAGAAAGCATTTTAAAGTCAGTGCACAGAATGATTTCAAGCTGATGACCTAGACAATTAATTTATACTCATCCCTGTAGTCTTACCACTCTTCTCCCGTATATACGTTTACATTCTCTGATGGACCCATAGATCTGAGAGAGGCTGGCAGGAAGGCAGCTCAGGTCAGGAATGTCATACAGGAAGTGGTCTAGAATTAGACTTCCTGTTCGTCCCATAGCTCCTCTGGGTGGAGGTGCTGCTGGGTGTTATGGAGCTCAAGGTGATGACAACAACAAGGGGAGGGGAGCACTTGATTCGGCTTTCAGGACACACATACAGCTGTGTTGAATTGGCAACCCTGGCTGTTTCTGCGTTCTTACACCCTGGGTGCTGGGCGGTGGTCAATACGGTCAACGTCTGGGTTTGTCACCCTCCATCGCTTTCACAGATTTTGGGGCAGTAATTTAAGTACTGACCAGATACTAAGCAACTAGATGTTATTATATTTCCTTCTGTACAGTTTAAATGTTGGTCTTACATTGGTTCTTGGGCAAGGGTCAGCAACCTTCACAATAAAACAAAAAAAGATTAGAAAACAAATCTGTACATGCACTATTAACTTTTCTTCCGAGATAATGTAATTTAAATGGGTGACTTATATAAAAAGTGCCCCCTTGTACATTAGCTATAGAGACCAAAACCATTGTTTGTTCCAGACTGTAAACATGTTTATTTCTGCTGTAAAGTTGGGCATTTTATTATGGGGCTTTATTGAGACTGACTCCCCGCTGGAGCCAGCCTCTAGTGGCCATTAGGGGAACTGCACTTTTTGTCACTTCATGTTTGCTTCATTGGCAGCCACAGAGGTTGCTGCTTGCTAATGACTGGTAGCCACCGCTATTGAGGTTCAGCAAAATGTAGCGGTAAAGTCAAGACATATAATAACATATGATGCAACCAATCTGATGGGAGAATGTAAGAGTCACTTTAGGCCTACAAACAATAAATGAAAATTTGAATAACCGTTATTTTCTATCTAATTTTTGGTCAAAGCCACAGGTAGCCTCTGGAGAGAGGCTAAAGAGCAGCATGCTGAGCAGGTTGCCTCCCCCTGTTCCAGAGGAAAGGTCAGCAGGTTATCGTAATCAGGAACATCCAGATAGTGATGGGGGTTCTGGCTCTTTTTAGTGATCCAGATCATTTGGCTCAGCTCAGCAATAAGTCAACCAAACGGCTCTTCATTTAGGATCACTTGTGTCTTCTGTAATTCAGCCAAATTCAGCAGTATTCTGACGATTGGTGCACATATATTACTTAAATTATTCAACGTAATTATACTAAATCTTATCTTCTCCAGAATAGCATCATTTTACAATGTTTGGTACAAAACATCCAAACTATTACGTGTATTGAACATTTTATTTATATTGGACTATGTTTTGCAATAAACAAAAGTCTCATCATGCTTGGGTCTTAATGTTGTTATCAAAGTGATACATTGCTGGATTCTATTTAACAAATACGTTCTAGGATCATCCTGTTATTCAGACGGGAGCCGGCTCCCATTGTTCACTTAAAAGAGCCAGCTCATCAAGTGACACATCGCAGTCCAATGGTACAAAAGTTAGTTTGCAAAACATTAGTGTGATTTCATCCTGTAGGACGGCTGTGAATGCAAATCAGATTGTCAGATCCACAGCAGAGGGGGTGACAGAGCAGCCAGAAACACAAGACAGGGGAATACACCGGACTGCAGTGATCCCCGCTGTCAGTGTGACAAGACTGAAGAACAGCAGGTCAGCGGCCTTGTTGTCCTTAGCAATGTGGTCCCACCCTGACAGGAATACATTCTGCACAACATCCTGATGTGTCAACTTCTGCTCTATTCCTTACATGGCTCTGGAGGAAATTGTTCCTGTGTGGCAAAGTTACACAAGATGATACTGAGGAGGGTGGCCTTGTTATTGTGACTAACAAAGAGGCAACCAGCTTGACATAGTAAGGGTTAGACAATAACAATACCAGTATTGTATCATTTTGATCTGATTCCTTTGTTCAACAAAGTATTTTTTCATCCTGCGGCCTAATGCTCTTACACAATCAAGAGAATAAGGGACGGTGTAAAAATCAGAGGGAGTCAGAATAGGTGAATGGTATTGTCATTTTTGTTTTACCTAAAAATCTATTTTTCTGGGAGATCAATTGAGAGAAAGGAGGAGACCCTTTAATTACTTTAATTTCTTATCCTAGATTCAGATTTTATTTCAGCCTTTCCCTATGAATTAAATATATGTATATGTATTATATAAACCCTGTGTTTTATTTTCTTGTTTAAAGGACCAGTGTATAAGATTTATTGGCATCTAGCAGTGAAGTTGCAGATTGCAACCAACTGAATACCACTCACCTTACTAGGGCGGCCATGCAAAATGCAAAAGGCCCTATTGAGAGCCAGTGTTTGGTTTGTCTGTTCTGGGCTTCTGTAGAAACATGGCGCACTCCATAGAAGAAGACCGGCTCCCTCTGTAGATAGAAACAGCTCATTCTAGGTTAACGAAAACACAACAATTTCTATTTTCAGGTGATTATACACTAATGACAACATACCTATGAATATTATATTCGGTACGGTACATTCATCAGTAAGCCAGAAACACAACTTCAGATAGATGCTAATGTTCCATATCTGCTGGAAGTTATAAAATGATAATATGTCAGTATTGTGTTCACATTTAACCCTGCCAGACACCTGGACCCACAAGATCACGCTAGAATCCATCATGCCAGGCTTCAAGCTACAGTATGTACTGTGCGGTTACTCGTGGCAGCTACAGTGTGAGCGTGGTTTAATGCTAGGTGTGTGTGTTCTCCCACAACATGTGCTTAAAATGAAAACAACAATGGCAGCTTCTAAAGAAGAGAGCATTGATGCTGCTAGCATCAGTTCTATTAGAAGTGGAGAGTATCTGTCCACTGAAAGAAGAGCAAAGAACGGCAGTAAAGGCTTCTCTCATTTGACTATGTTATACGGTTCATTGATCTGATTGGTTGAAGTTCACCTGTGATGGACAGATGGTTCATCCAATCTCCTGCCAAGTTGTTGTTGTTGTTTTTTTGCCCAGTTTCCAACAATGTCTTCCCGGATTGGTTCTGTGTAACAAACCATCTGGTCTAAGGTACCCCTCTCCACCAAAATCATTTCTGTACAGTCCCTAACATTCAGTCACATCTGATGCAAGGTTTTCTCAAAGTCAGTTCTTTCGCAATTTTGTCCTTTGTTCAGATTCAATTTGTTATTCAGAGACGGCTCACAGAGCACCCACGCACACATTTGTATGAGGAAATTTGAAGTGCAGCAGTGAAGCATGATGCTCCCATGCTCCATTCAGATAGCGTGTTTGTGCTGGCTCCAGCCACAGAGCCACTTGGCACACTCTTTGCTGTGTTTTGAAGAGGTCCGGGAAGCTTGGAGGCGTAAACAGGGCGGCGGGGGTCAGAGGACTTAATAAACAAACTTCCCTCAGTGGTAGTAGTTGGCGCTGGTCAGACAGCTGCAGAGGATCACAGGGGGTCAGTGACACACTCTGTTTTTGTTTCAGTGGAAAAACTCAACACATTCCCATTTTGTACAGCATCAACAATAGAGCCACGGTGTTTACCTACCTGCACTTAAAAAAAGGTTGATGACTCACTAGTTAATGAGGATCCTGATTGATTGCTTAAATCATCTACTGACACCTGAAGAGTGCCTTCCAGTGAAAGAGTAATGGTTGTGGACTCCATTAGTTCTTGGCTCCGTTGTGTCCCCTACTTTTATGGTGGGTTGTAGGCTAATGACTTATGCATTATACATTGTTTCTTCCTGTAACTGTGTGTTTAATTGGTTTCCCTCAGACTCCCAAGAGGTTTTGTGGAACACCCGGTCCACTTACCCTGTACTCCCCCCACCCCTCACCCCTTCTGCCACCATCTGGGTTGTTTTCCTGGTCCCCTCCCTGCGCCATCTCTCTCTTGTGCTGCTTTTGATTTAATTTCAATGTTGTAGTTTTCGTCTGTCACTGTCAGGACTCCACAACTGTTCACTGTATGCACATAGCGACATGTAAAACCTGTTTTTAATATGAATTACACAAGTGAGATATGACATGTTAATTAGTGAGCTGGTGAGCTGATTTTGTTTCACTTGGTTAGGGAGCCAGGCTAGTTGTTTCCTATTGTTTTCAGGCTTTGTGCTAAGCTACTACCTTTATGTTTACCATACATATTCTCATCTAACCCTCTGTAATAAAGTCCAGATAAATAAAATACATTTCCAAAATGTCCCACCTCAAGGCCCACTTACTAGCTTTTTCTAGCACTTTCGGCTGCATCACATGGTCTTCATGAGTGGGTGGAGTTTGCACAGTTGTCACGGAGATGGATCTGTTGACAGCTGGGTAGCTGTGAAGATTTCATCAACGACCAAGAGGTAAATATTCTCTAATAGTATTTATTCCATCTTCTCAGCAGGCCCCTGAATGCAGCATCTCTCCCTATACCCTCCCTATCCCTGCCCCCTTTGTCCCCTTCACCCTCCCTCCTCCCCACCCTCCAGCATTATTCTTTTCCCTCCCCTCCCTCCCTTTCCTGCCGGCCTCTCAGCAGAGGATGTGTCTGGGAGAGAGAGTGTGTGTGAGGGAGAAGAGGAAAGCCGTCAGTAGAATGGATATGTGCCCTCTCTCCTCCACCCTTTCTTCTCCTTCTCCTTTTCCTTCTTCTCTGTCTGTCTTCACCTTCCTCTGCCAGCGCTGCACCCTGGGCACCCTCAGTGCCAGCCCTCGGGGAAAAGGAGACTCGCCGGGTGGACAGGCGGCTGAAAACTGAACTTCAATGTCAGCGGGGGATCAGAAGAATGGTGGTGACAAACCAGAAGGTGAGGGAACACACACACACACACACACACACACACACAACTGTGGATAACACTGCTAAAAGGCCAACACCCACTTCTTCTAAAGTCTCTCAATAGCTAGAGACAAAACAAAGCTGTGCATGCTTGTCTATGAGAGAAATATATGAACTCTTCCATGTAAACCATTCCAGTATTAGGTCAGAGTGGTGTCAGGTCCAAAGGTAATTTCAGATAGCTGATAAAACAGTTTCCCCACAGGGTCCATTTAGTAGTTGCTCTGGAGCTTTAAACTATACCCCATGATCTTCATCAGCAGACCAGTTGTCATGGAATTGTAGATTTACATTTTCATGTACACTTTAAGGATTTGCAAAAGGATTTTACAAAAAATAAAAATGAGAACTACAGTTCCATGGCAAGTAAGCAAACTATCTGCAGATGAACCTTGCAGGTTCTGAGGTCGAGAATGAACGTCAGCAATTTCAAGTACTTTTACACCCTTACAAAAATGAAGAAAGCTGTGCATTATTGATTCATTTATTTGAAAGAGAATAGCCACATTTAAAGGGGCAGTCTAGTATTTAAGCATTGCAGTCCCATAAAGTTGCAGAGACAGAAAAAACAAACAAACACACTCATTAAAAACTGTACAGAATATTATGTATAGGGATAGGTGTGTGATTCTACAGCATGTACCATCATGACCGGAGAGTCTGCTGGTTTCCATACCAACGTGCCATTACAGCAGCACGCTCAGCACAGAGTAACTCCTGTATTGTCCTCTGTGCAGTTGTGTTTTTTGACCTGTGCTGTTGCAGCACCAGCTTACATGGTACTCATCACTTTCCTGAATGTGAGCTCTATGGTTTATTGTTTTGCAGAGTTGCTGATGATGACATTTCAGTGCTCAGATTTAGTCTTGCTAGGAGATAGTGTCCCATGACCTCCTCTGAGACAGAGACAGCCCTGTTTGTGTAACTGAGACGTCCAAACATCTTCTCTCACACACACACACACACAGAGTTCTGAATGACTATACTTACTGGGACCTCTCGCTGACAAAACCTGAACTTTTAGAGCGATACATGCCTAACCTATGAATGTTATTTTAACACAATCAACTAAGCTTTCAACCCTAAAGTCACAGAAAGAATGCTCAGTGCTAGTGACCAAGCACAGCACATTACTCTCTGCTGAGTCACTAACCAGTACATTATTCAATTAAGCCCAATTAAGATGTGTAATTCAAATGGAAGCATTGTCATGTGACTCTGTGGGCTGCCTGTCTAGCTGACTAACAGATGAGAAATGATATCCTGCTCACCTGACTGGTCGACTGACAGCAGAGCCTCACTTCTCTCTGCTATAAAAAGAACCTCTCCAATTTGGTGCAGAGAAATGTTTGACTCAGACTGTGCAGCATATCCCATTCCCTAAACATCAATAATGCTGCTGCTTAGCATGCTCAAAATTGCCTCTTTCTATGGGTGATATGGTTGGGAGCTTGGCAGTGAAGGGTGAACGTATGGGAGAGCTGGGAGGACATTTGGGGACAATATTGTAACAAAATCAGGGTGTGCTTTTCTTAAGCAACATTAAATAATGCAATACACAATCCTTCTTGATGGAAAACGTCCCATCTGAGAACCAACTTTATCACAGCACACTGGATTTTATTTCTCCAAACATTTCTTGGAAACAGAGCTATTGTGGTGACAGAAATAATCACACTGGTGAGTTAAACCTCATTTGGCAGATAATTCTAGGTTTTCTGTCACAGGGAAGGATGTCCCCCAGTTGGAAAAGTCAATTTCCTCTTCCTCTGGCTGTTCAGTCTGAGATGACTTTTTAAATGTACTCATCCACTTGAGACCAAGCCTGGCCAATTTTGATCAAATACGATAAAGCGTTGCCCTCAGAAAACTGGGTTGAGCCAACCAGATCCCAGTAGGTATCCTGTCTCTTGATCAGTTTAGTTGGGGCAACATTATGTAAGATTTGGTAATTAAGGGAGGGAAATGAATGTGAATGTTAATGGTTAACTCGGCTAACTTTCTGACCAACATAGCAAAATATGGCTGATATTTTATTTATTCAGGCCACGCCAAGTTTTATAATTTTCCCTCCTAGTAGTAGTTGTGGTAGTATCAAAAAAGACACAAAAATAAATGCCATCTTTCTATTACATTAAGCACATTCTACATATTAGGGCTTTAAAGGTCCAGTGTGTAACATTTAGGAGGATCTTTTGTCAGAAGTGGAATATAATATTCATAGCTATGTTTTCATTACTCTATAATCATCTGGAATTAATAGTTTTGTTACCTTAGAATGAGCTGTGAAAAGTACTTTACAATTACATTTTAGCATTGCACCATGGGCAGTTTAAAAAAATGTATGCACAAAAAATATTGTCACTGTCCCTCCTTGTCAAAACCTGGTGCCTACGTTACCCACAAAGCAATGCAACCACTGTCAGTTTGGTCAGAGATTTAGGTGTGTCATGTATGCTAGTAGTAATGCAGCGGGGTACAGAGGTCTGGTAAGCTAAATTTTCAAACTTGTAGTATTCAGCTTTATCAAAAATGCTGACTCAAATGACATCACTTGGGTCAGACTTTGCGTAGCTCCTTGTAGAGCCACAAAAGGCTTTACACAACTTCACATCTGAAGGAGTACTGCCCAAAACAGACTTTGATTTTTACCGTCAGACACGGTGCCAGTGGCTGACGTGTGGCCAGAGGTGGAGAGGGCCGAGTGTTTGGCCCGTGGTGCTGCCCTGAAGTGGGCGTCAGGTGTTTTCTGTCGACCTGAGAATCTGGAGCGCCTGAGCCAGTACAAGAAGCGAGAGAGCCAGAGGACCGCCTCCATACACACCAGACTCAAGGTAACACACATGCTTACACAATATGATCTCAGTTTATTGAATGGTCTCCTAAATGGTGCACTTAAGAGGAAATTGTTGCTATTAGTCATCAATGGGAATCAATAGTAACAACTGTGCTTTCCTTCCAGTCCATGGTGCAGTCGTATCTGGAGGGGGTAGGCTGGGGTCTGGAGCAGCTGCGGGAGGCCAGGGCCGAGCTGAAGGAGGTGTCACACGCTTTAAAGAAATCAGGACTGGAGTCCAATCAAAACACAGAGGGAGTGAAGTCCCTGGAGAGGCTGAGAGAAGTGTCGGTCAACCACCGTCAGCTCCTCGCTGCCGTCAGCAACCTGCCACGACTTTACTCCGGTGAGATGGACACACAGGCCTCAAATCATTCATTCACAGTCAATTCCTTTATAATTTACAAAAATTAGTTCTACATTTTGTATGTGTCGTACAAGGGGAGAAATCTGTCACATCTGTCTTGTGGGGAAAACACACCACACCTTCCACAATTATTTTATGGTACAATACAGAACTTTTTTGCTGGAAACTAATAACCTCTTGCTTATAGCCTCAAGTGGCTGCAAGAGGTTATTACATAAATTGTTGGCAGTTTGAGGAATTAAAGTCCCCCCTCCCTTTCTTGTCCCTTTCAGTGCGTAGCATGGTGTTGGAGACTGAGCGTCTGGTGGAGTCCCGGCGGCTCCTAGAGGCCCACGCCCGGCTGATGGATCTGGAGCACTGGCAGGACGACATCCTCTGGCAGCTCCACGGGGCAGCAGGAAGTTCACTCAGCGCAGAGGACCAGGAGCTGGTGGCCAAATATTTCTCTGGTGTCGGGCAGTTGGTGGACGCCCTCGGTAAGGAGTCTTATAGACATGGGGGTTGACAGCTCCACAGTTTATTCAGTAACGTCAGTTTAATTCATGAGCAAGCATACCATATATGGCAACTGTTTTTGTGACTATTGTAACTTAGTTCCCTATATTTCTGTATACGTAGATACAGATATAAAAATACCAATAATCTTGTTTTGTGTCATTTGCAAAGCAGATGATGGTGATGATGTGCATGATTGTACATATAAGAATAAACTATGGCAATATCTTTTTTGCATCAGCAGACTTTCTAAGGGATGAGAAATATCTAGACTGCAATCAGACTTGTAAAAATCCAACGTAGATGAGGAAAAACAGCAGTTTCAGTTGCTCTATGTAGTTGTGCACAGATGGACTTACATGCACATGCGGCCAGACCGGCTATGGAAACAAACCACAGAGAGGCTGTGATAGCAACACAAGCAGAGAGAGTGTGTCATTCTCTGCTCAAGACACCATGACTCCATGACTATATCTTTACATGGCAAATAATTGTTTGCTGTTATATTAATGTTCTCAGATATACAGTATATAACCTTTAAAAGTAAGATACTAAAAAAAGTATCTGGAACTGACTGTACTGGATTATATACTCTACCTGGCCCCACTGAGGACAAAACAGAGGAATCATAATGATATTAAAGAGATATTATTTTTAAGTCACTGTACTGAATTATACTAAATGATCATCACATATAACAGGTCTTCGGTTTCTCAGCCACTTGGGGGCAGTGGAACAAGTTCACAACACAACAGTACTGATATATATTAACTTTAGTAACATTATCATTCATGTCAATCTCAAAGTGTTTCTCCAACTCCTGAGGAAATTATCTCTGATATCTCTGTAGCTGCTGAATGTTC